GGCTAGCCCCATACCTCATCATTGGTGAAATTTTTATGACTATGTTACTTTTGCAATATTATTTCTGATGGCTCATTCATAGTTTGCAATCTGTACAATAAAAACACAATTATGAATAATGTGCCTCAAATGATTCAGATTTCCAAAGGTATAGGTCTCTTGCATGCCCTTCCACTTGTATACAAAGGTTGGTGCCTTATGACAGCCTTTTCTAAAGGAGAGATATATATTGGAATACCAAGAGAGAGTCGGGAACAGGTTCCAGGCAATCAACAGTGAAGAACTGGATAGAAAGTGAGATATTGTACAATGAAGCTAGTGTTCTAAGAAGAACATGCCATTCATCTCTTCTATCTTCTCATCTATCTTTCTGAATATCTGTATCTTTGAATAGGCAAGGTTTACTTTAGCATTGAAATTCTGTCCCAGACAATTAAAACAATCTCATATATGCTATTATTCTTCAACAAATGTCATCTTATGAAAGCGATCGGAAAATTTTGGAGAGCTTTAGCAAGAGTCATTCAACAGTAAGAACCAGCCATGGGTGGAGCCAGAGTTTAAAATTAATGTATCCGCAATAAAACATGGGCTGAGTCAGAGACAAAAGTGGGAAAATGTTCAGCATCAGAGGATTGTACATCTTTAATAGTATCCCATTCTATTTCAGTGAGAACTGGACAGGGAACCACTGATTGGTTCAAAATTGGAAAAGGAGTCCAGCAAGGCTGTATACTGTTGCCCTGCCTATTTAACTTATATGCAGAGCACATCATGAGAAAGGCAGGGCTAGATGAATCAAAAGTTGGAATTAAGATTGCCGGGAGAAATATCAACAACCTAAGATATGCAGATGATACCACTCTAATGGCAGAAAGTGAAGAGGAACTAAAGAGCCTCTTGATGCGGGTGAAGAAGGAGAGTGCAAAAGTTGGCTTGAAACTCAACATTAAGAAAACCAAAATCATGGCATCCGGCCCTCTCAATTCCTGGCAAATAGATGGGAAGAAATGGAGGTAGTGACAGATTTTATTTTTCTGGGCTCAAAGATCACCTCAGATGGGGACTGCAGCCAAGAAATTAAAAGACGCTTGCTCCTGGGGAGGAAAGCTATGGCAAATCTAGACAGCATACTAAAAAGCAGAGACATCACCCTGCCAACAAAAGTGCGTATAGTCCAGGCCATGGTTTTCCCAGTTGCAATGTATGGCTATGAAAGTTGGACCATAAGAAAGGCTGAGCGCAAAGAATTGAGGCCTTTGAACTATGGTGCTGGAGAAGACTCCTGCGAGTCCCTTGGACTGCAAGGCGTTCAAACCGGTCAGTCCTAGAAGAGATCAACCCCGACTGCTCTTTAGAAGGCCAGATCCTGAAGTTGAAACTCAAATACTTTGGCCACCTAATGAGAAGGAAGGACTCACTGGAGAAGGGCCTAATGCTGGGAAAAATTGAGGGCAATAGAAGAAGGGGACGACAGCGAATGAGATGGCTGGATGGAGTCACCGAAGCAGTAGGTGTGAACTTAAATGGACTCCAGAAAATGGTAGAGGACAGGAAGATCTGGAGGAACGTTGTCCATGGGGTCGCGATGGGTCGGACACGACTTCGCAACTAATAACAACAACAACAACATTCTATTTCTCTAGCATCCAAAGCAAATAAATAATACATTTTAATTAAGGCAAGAAAATATTCTACAGTCATGGTTTCAATATTTACAAATGGTGGACAGGTGGACTGTAGATAAGAAAGAGGGAATAACATTAGAAGATGAACAATTGGTTATTCAGATTAAAAATCAGAGTCAGGCTCATATAAAAAGAATTTATAATGCTTTATTAGAGTTAGACTCGGAAACAGAATTGGTCAAAGACTGTATGATTAAATGGGCTCAGAATATACAGGAACCGATTTCTTTGGATTTATGGGAGACAATTTGGATTAGAAATGTCAAATTTACACAAGCTCAAAATTTGAGGGAAAATTTTTATAAAATGTTTTACAGATGGCACCTAGATCCTAAAAAATTATCTTGTATGTATTCTAATATACAGCCCAAATGTTGGAGATGTGGCAATAAGGATGCAACATATTTTCACATTTGGTGGAATTGCAAAAAGGTAAAGGCTTTTTGGATTATGATTTGGTGGAATATTCAAAAGATTTTTAGAAGGAAGATAAAGTTTACTCCTCAATTATTTTTATTGGGTATTTTTGTGGATCTAAATGACAAAGAAACTACTTTAATGTTGAATTTATTAACCGCGGCAAGGTTACTAGTAGGTTCATATTGGAAGAAAGATTCCTTGCCTACCTTAGAAGAATGGATATTTAAAGTTTCTAGTTTTGCAGAAATGGCAAAAATTTCTGCTTATTTGAAGGATCATACACAAGAAAGATATATTATTGTATGGAGAAGATGGATAGATTATATTCAGAAAAAGTATGGAACTATAAAGCTTCATTTACTTTACGAGTGAATTTTACAGTAAATGTTATAGAGATTTGTTTATGATGTTATTGGAGTTAAAGGTTAAGTATGATTTTTTTTCTTTTTTTTCTTTTTCTTTTTCTTTTTTATTGTCAACTTTGTCATTAATAACCCTGTATTCTGCTCTGGGAAGTGAGGGGAGGGCGGTTGGGGGTGGGTAGGTAAGAATCATATAGATATGGTAGTTTATAAGAAAGGTGCAGCCTGGGCATTTCCCCTATGCTGCATTCATGTGTTTGAGAGGGATGAGAGGAGAAGAAGGTGTAGGGAGGAAGTAGGACGGTAAGAGGAGAGGGGGAGGGGAAGAGAGTAGGAAGGGAAGAAAGAGGAGGGAAGTAGGGAAGGTTTTAGAGAGGGTGGACGCGGCCTGGGGGGAATGGGCAGGCGGTACCAATGGTTATGAATTTATTTTATTTCAAAATTGTATTTTGTATGATGTACAAATGGAAAAAAAATAAAAACTTTTTCAAAAAAAATACATTTTAAAGATCAATAGCAATTTATGTCAACTAACAGTCTATGAGATAGAATGTGTAACTACAATTATGATTAAAACCTTATCTTCTGTGCTTTTTCTCTTTGAATTAATATAAAATATTAAATGTTGGCACAAAAATCCTGAAGGGACTACAACTATTTATGTTCACTGCCTTTATTTGTGGGCTGTCAAAATACAAACATTTCTTAAGGATTAATTATAAGCTCCTGGGGAAAAAATACAGCTTCTCTAAACTAAAACTGTTTCAGATTTTAAAACAGGATGGAAAACCTCTTGCCAGAAGAGCTAAACGTAGATGATAATAATCTTCGTCCTGTATCAACAAATGTGGCCAAAAGAAAATGCATCAACCAACTTTATTTGAGCTAAGAAGTGGTTGGGAAGAGAACCCATAGAAGCTGATGCTATTGCCATCATCATTGTCATGGTTTTATTTATGGTCACAGAGACCAAAGAAAGGAAATTCAAATTCTGTAATATATAATTTTTTAAAGGCCACCCCCCAAAAAAGGAGACTCATAAAAGAAACAGGATGCCAAATTCAAGTATTTTTTGAGAATATGGCAACTGAATGTTGACTACTTTCAATGGGATGTTCCTCAAACATCTGATTGTGACCTCATGCCTTCCGTTATGACAACTATTCCAGCAACTGAGCACTTCCATCATTTTTTTAAAAAACAAAGGGAGAGGGAAACATGTAAGTAAATCTTCTCAGTGACTTCAGCATTTATTTAACAAAGGACACAATACTCACCTTTATCTCTCCAAAAATACTCTTTTCATTTAGCATAAATACTTCAGCAGGATTCTGTGAAACTCCAGATACAGCTTTGTAATAGCAAAGGAAGAATACACATTTTCCTGTATATTCTCTGGTTCATCATGCAGAAGGAAGACATTTAATGTTCAGAAGTTTTCCCAGTTCTGACCAAAGTGACATGAGGCAAAAGGATTAAAATAAAGATAAGGGATACGATTTTATTTCCTTCTTATGCTGTTTTCCTCACTTAAATTATAATTATTTATGTTACACAAAGTATTTCACATAAACAATAAACAATATTGTAAAAATATCCTTAGGTCTTCAACATATAGATCAGAAGACTGAAAACTGTTATTTTAATCTTAATCTTTTAATCACACATTTCCGTAGGCTGTCGAACCTGCGAAAACTGTTGTTGAAGAGGCATTTCAAGGTGGGGCCATGGGAAGAAAGAAGTAGCAAGGACAAGAAAGATTCTACATCCTATCCTAAGATTTGCCAATTTGCAATCTTTGGCAAGAAGACTAACACCTACCCAGGAGAAGAAAACAGCACCATGTGTCTTCCTATCTGCACTGGGAAGAATGCTATCTTGGTATTGGATGGGTCTGTCCCTCCAGAGAGCAAATATCGCAAATAATTGAGTAGGTGTTAGATCACAGTTGAGAGCAATACACGGAGCTACTGAAGGAATGACTTAGAGGGGGGGAGAGATCTCTCTTCATGCTACAGTCTAGGGAGGGAAATGCATTGCCTTTGTAGCCAAAACTACATCATAATTCAGTTGGGAATCAAGAAAGAGACTCAGAGGCACCTGAAATTATATTAATGTTAAGATCCTTCAGAGGACTAAACCCTAAAACAGGAGTCCCAAATCATTACAGAATTGAAGAACAAAGGAAGCCTGAATGAAGATTAAGAATGGAACAGAACAGCTTGTGAAAGATCTATGTATCACCTTTGAATGCAAATTTTGGAGACAAATGTCTACATGTTTAGACAAAAAAATGTAAATATTAACTGCTGCTAAATGAAAAAAGATATCCCACAATTTAGGTAACCGTTTTCACTTGTTGGAAAATTCTTTACAAATGTACAACTTTGCAAATCAAATGAATTAAAAAAAAAAGGAACAGGTCAGCTCAAACTGAGTAAGTTCTACATCTTCAGATGGGAAGCAGTGCTGAATATTAGTTTCAGTAAGAAAATAAAGGGAATTAAAATTATTTAAGAGTAGAGATGGCTAGTTCAACTTGCATTTAATATTACTTAAATTTTACACTTTCAGACCAAGTGACAACAAAAACTCAAGTATTGTTTGACATAAGCATTTTTTAAAAATCTTCCACTTCTCCAATTAAACATTAACATGCAGAAGCATTTGTATTAGGGAAGGGTGTAAACAAATGTTTATACTAGTGAAATAACGCCTAAAATTACATACTGTGAAAAACGTATTGCAAAAATGTATGTATGACAGAATTGTAAACAGTATGGTTATGTAGTTATATTAAAGAGAAATATGTATGACTTTTGTATGACTTTGTTTAAAACTTATATTAATGTGAAAATGTGGTGAATCAAACTTAACACTGGACAAATAGAAAATGTTTGAACTCTCCAAATTGGGTCTGAAAGGGTTAAATATGTTGCTGCAATAAGTGTGAATTAATACAATATTTTCTTTTTGGCCCACAAAAATGAGAAAAGTTTATGTCTCAGACTTTTTTTAAAAACACCATACACCAGTGATGGCGAACCTTTTAGAGACCGAGTGCCCAAACCGCAACTCCAAACCCACTTATTTATCACAAAGTGCCTGGGCCACATCAGCATTGTGGTGCCCTCATGGAGGGGCAGGAAGGTGCCTCTGAGCGCCACCTCTGGCACACAAAAACTGGGGGCGCAAAAATGGGCCACCATGCTGCAAGGTGCAAAAACAGTCGTGCCGTGGGGTGCAGATACAAGGCGCTGCACCATGCAAGAACGGGGCAGGGCTAGTATCACGCAGGCACTAGCCCTGCCCCATTTTCAGCACGTGTGTGCTCACGGCCCCGTGCGTGCATGCATGCAAAATGCTTCCACCTCCCAATGGTTGGTGACCTCTGCTCTACCACCTCTACTCAAGCTTGCTGGTCGGCCACTTTACCTCCTTTGTGCTGGGCGAAGCTCCTGCTCCGGGCAGCAGTGGTGGCCTGATGCACCTGCTGCTGGTGACAATGGTGCGTGTGCAAACAGAGAGGGCTCTGAGTGCCGCCTCTGGCACACGTGCCACCAAGCAAAGATACCAAGCAAATCTGAGAGTCAAGAGATTTAGTTCCATGGCTTCCATAAACAATGGATTTCCTGTAAAATTGGCTAACATCATTTGAACCTTAGATATAACAATAACCTTCAGCCTTCAAATACTACTGAATCAAATCACCCCAGCAACTCCCTCCTTGCTTTCCAGGAACTGGTGAGTATAGTCTTGGAAATATAATATAAAGTCTTGGAAATATATAAAGATAAAACAGCACCTGCACAAGGTTAGGTTACAATTGAATATTCTGCTATTGATGCTATGGGGCGGTATGGGACTAAACTGTAGACAGAAGATTCATGAATGTTCAGAATGTTCAGAAGCAAAGAATTCAGCTAAATGTTAAATCAGCTATCCACAATGTCCATTTTAAAAGTTTTCATTAATGTGGAACCTGTAAAGGAATAATTCCATTAACAATGGCAGAAGGTCAGTATAGGATAGTATTTCTGGACAATTAGCATTCAACTGGTACAAATAAAACAGATGCTGTAGTACATTATGTTCCACTCCCCATGTTTGGAAAGTTTGGTATTATTAAGAGTTGTGTCCTGGAACTGCAGAAAGAAAAGTTCTGTTTTTGTACTATATCCACATCTCTTCCTCTGCCACCCATCAGTAATCCAATCGCTGGGCTTATATATTGAAATCCAGGATTTGTAATATTGGTACATAGTTTATCCCCATTTGTCTTAGCTAATGATAATAAACAATATGGTTTTATTTCTTTGCCTCCTTTCTCTCTTGAAAAAAAAAATCCTTCATTTCTTTCACCAAAAGTTGCTTGAACTATATTCCTGATGGCCCTTCTGAGATGAAAAAAAGAGGTCACACATTTCTTGTTTGAGCATCACTCCGGGTACTGAGAAGATGGACTGTGCTGTGAAGAAAGCAAAAAATAAAAGTAAGAATATACTGAGGAAATTTTACATGGGACAGTGGCCATCTACTGCCTTGGAAGACAAGTCTCCTGTACAATACTCTGCCCTTTGGCACGGAAAAATTTGTTAGTGGGTGCCTTGCCTGTTCCCTGAACAACATCCAGTAATTGCTACCAAAGTGAACACTTAGTGGACCATCATTTCCACAAGACCTATTGGCTCAATAATTTCTGAGGTAATATCACAAGAGATGATTATGGTCTTATGATCCATTTGCCTTCTGAGAAGTGAATGCTTTATATCTATTGCAAAATGCTCTAAACATTCCAGAACTACCCAGGCCCTCAAAATATTGTCTATTCTTGATTTAATGGCTGAAGAATGGGGTTCTTATAGCCTTTCAAGGTTTCTTTCACTGGTGTTTTCTAGCGTATGTTCTTAGTAAACAATGCATGCTGAATATGCTTGTTTGTGTTTATCTATTTTGATGCTTTTTTTCTTTTTTAAAATCTGTTTTATTTGCTGACCATGGGCTGTAATAAAACTGACCTCATCTATGCATGACTGTGTTTACATTCCACCAAAAGGTAATGAAGTAAATTAATAGGATGGGGAACAGAGATTAACCTACCATTAGAAAGCTGGCTCTGTTGAAAGGGCAGTGGATTGAAGAACTGATGAAAAAGTGCCTGTTGTGCAGAAATCCTATTTTGTGGATATACTTTTAGCATTCTTTCTGCCAAATCTTCAGCCTCAGGCACCTTGACCAGACTAGAAGTTAAAAACAAAGGAAAACTAAATTTTAGGAATTCAAACTCTACTGTTAGCTTTTGAAAAATATTAATTTAATATATAAACCAAAATCAGAAGAATCCATAGAAAAAGGTAAGATAGGAAGGAGAGAAAGAAAAGGAAAGTTTATCTTTACATTTGGTATAAGTATTCAATTAAATATATACAGCTAAATCAAGAAATTTCTATTTTTCTACATTGTTTTAAATTCAGAAGTAATTATATTTAAGTGTTGGAGACATATTTAGATGTTCTCTCAGTGGAATTTATTTTCAAAATCATCAGTTTGGGAAAGAAATCATTATTTGTAAAACAAGACCAAAAGCAAAGTAATGCAATCCATATTGCTCTTTCATTTAAAATTTGCATGGTTGAATGAGATTAAATTGACATATCTGCTTTAAAAAAAAAAACACCAGTTAATAAAATGTTCAGTTATATCCAAAGCTCTTTAATCACATGAGAAGAAATGTATACATGTGGTTAAACAGCTTGGATAAAACTGAATTGATGGTTTAGCGTTTTATTGATTAAAAAGGTATGATACATAATTTGGGAGGGTGCAGATCGTAATTACTATGTTTGTAACTGCTGCAAAGAAAATTGGAAATCTCTTCCTTAAATATATTTTTTCTTTCTCTTTTTCTCATCTTTCAATTTTTTCTTTTATTCTTTCACATCTTCTTTTTTATACTTTTCTATGTCTCTGTAGTTTTTTAATCTTATGTTAAAGCCTGTTTTAATAAAAATTGTTTATAAAAATGGCAGTTGGCACATCCCTCCAAATTCATCACAAAAGGTAAATCATGGAACCTTCATTGCACCATTAAAATAAAAAAGTAAAGTTTTTAAGTCTCTATGCTAATTGTTAATTAATCATGAAGAAAGTTCTCCAGAAGTTCAATCAACCAGTAATTACAATGTCTTATTTTGTAAGCATACATACACAGAACCTCTTGTCCTTTTAGTAGTCACTAGGAAAAGTTGTAGTTATTTATTGATTTAACACTGTTCCCAGGTTTCTTTAAGATTCAAGGTTTTTAAAGGATGTAAATAGATATACAAATAGGTATGTGTATTTATATGTGGCAAAGCCTAATGCCAAATATCTTGACATCTAGGAAGTGAACTAGAAGGAAGGACTTTTAATGGGCTTTTTTCTTTCTTCAAAGAATCAAGTGGCTCATGGGAACTCAGCCTGCCGGATTTCAACTCATCCCAGCAGGCATTTCACTTTGAAACAGCATCATCCTGCCTGGATCAGCTACCTCTTCTTTTCTCACTACACTCCCAACAAAAATATACATATGGATCTAACTGCATTTGCAGTCTAAATGGTTTGTGATTTTTTTTTCCCACAAGAGAGGAAATAATCAAAGGAATACCATATATAAAACTGAGAGCAGAATTCAAACTGTAGCTCACTTGCAATTGAAGAATATATGTGACACTCAGATACTTTAATATTAGCTCAGCCCAAAGGGAAGTGAAGCAACTGCAGTGACTGAGAAATAAAATAGGATAGAATTAGAACAGGAATAGTACAACTCATGCCAGTATATTTTTCTGCCAACCAAGAATAGATGGAGAGCTTTATGGCCCTTTCTGCAGATCTTCAGATTGTCATTTCACAGTGTCAGTATAGTGGGAAAAATACTTACTCTAACATTTGATACAATCAGGGACAACTTAAGCTAATATGCCAAAGGAAGGAAACACCACGTGATTACATTGGCAAGAAAGATGTTGCCAGGACATGCTTAATGCTGTGGTTAGGTGCAAGCTGGGACACAGCCTAAATTTCAGCTATGAAAAAAAGGCCTCAAAACAATATGGGATATTTTGAAGGGTAGGTATCTGGGATCTGTGCCTTAGCTAGTTCCACTCCACAATATCTACCTTTATTCATCTAGTGCTGAGTTTGTTTGTAAAGGCCAAAACCAATGGTGATCTGAATCCTAGAAGCATCTGTGGGGAATTTGTGTATGGGTATTTGCTTTAGTGCCAGTGCTCTAATCTGACAGAAGGAAGTCTATAGTCAAAGCATTAAAGATCAACAACCTAACTAGGAGGCTTTTCATTTTTAAGCAGGTGGGATCCTTTTAGTTTAGGAAGTTCTTGGCTGGAAGCTCCTGGAGGAAGCAAGGACCTCAAAAAAAGAGAGAAGGGGAGGGAGGGAGTTCACAGGAATGCCCAAGAAAACGTACAAAGCCTAAAAAGCCCTGCAAGAACTAGAACCAGGAAATAAATCTGGCAGGAAACATTTGTTTAGTGAATAGAGGGATCTTTTTTTTTTTACTTTCAAGTGCCACATTTGGTTGAATATACTCCAGTTCTCTGTCTTCATTTCCTCGTTTGATCCTTGTTTACATATTATTATGCTAGCTTTGGTCTGTAATTCTCAGCCTGAGGTAACATGAAATTAGTCTCTCATATCCTGACTTCGTTGCTTTCATTAAAATAACATCCCTTTTAGGCAACTTATGGATGCAACCCAATGATAATGATAAGTATCAATGCCTTTCTTGGAAATTGCCACTTTTAATGTTTTTTGCTAGGTTTGAAGATTACTACTATTATTTTGGATTTATCTTAGACTAAGCACAAAGAACAGACCGACATTAAGAGAGCATTTGATGATTGTAGATAGCTTACCTGTCACAGATAATCTGGAGCCCCTGAGGCCTATTGCCAAGGAATCTGTCTGGAAAATTAATATGCAATCACAGGATTAAACACAACCAATTCAAGTCATATATACTTGAGCGTTCCTGTTCTTGTCCTTACATTTATCACTGCTGTACTATAGACCTGTTAGCCTGCTTGGTAGAGAATGCTGGCACAAATGCTTGAATCTGATTTTAACAGAGCAAACATACTGCAAATCAGATAGACGAGTGCCTCCAGACAGAAGACTCCTAGCACAGTTAATCACCAGACATTATGCAGTCTGTTTCTTCATAACAAAGGTGTCTGCCTAAAGAAAAAGGAAGAAACGGTGGGAAAACATAGGAGGGTTACAAGTGAAGAATGAGGATGTTTGGAAACTAATTCCCCCATAAATTTCCATGAAGGAGTCAGGGCAGTCGCCTAATAAAAAGTCTAGTTTGAAAGCCTTCCACATTCTACAAGGCAAATAGAGTCTTTGCCCAAGGGTCCCCTCCCACCTTCCCAGGGTCTTCAAGGCAAGAATTTCCAAGGTCAGGAATTCCAGATCTTGGGACACTCCCCAAAAGATGCAGAGGCAGAGGCTGGGGGCCACGTGAAAGATGATGCTCCTTGCTATGCCTGCAACCAGCATAGTAGATAGGAAAAATTTTAAAAATGCAAAAAAATACCTTCTGTGCTCCTCCCAAGGATCCTTGAAAGGGCAGAAATAAGGTCACTCCTACATTCTATCCTGATGGTCTGTGGCTAGCAGGAAGTTTGAGATTTGGGTGTACTGACTAAATACTAAAACTGTTTGGCATAGCCCAGGGGTCCCCAACCCCGGTCTGTGGACCGGCATCGATCTATGGCATGCCAGAAACTGGGCCATGTAAACAAGCGAAGCCCCATCTGCAGATTACAGGCAGCACCTGAAATCACACCCTCTCTAGTCTGCAGAAAAGTCTTTCTCCATGGACCGGTTCCTGGTGCCAAAAAGATTGGGGGCCGCCGGCGTAGCCAAATCATTTGAGTTAATAAAAGTGAAACTTAACCTTTTTATTTTGTAGTCTATATCCCTATAACCCTGATTGTGGAGAATCCAAGCAAATGGATATTTAAACCAATTTAGTATTAATTACACGAAATCCTCTTCCAGCCGGAAGAGCTGCTAAAGTCCTTGCATGTCCTCAAATGCAACAGGATTTCTGGCCCTATTGGAAAATTGACATGAAGTTTATATAGCTTGACCAACTCCTGGAATAAGGGAGGAAGTGCTACTTTAATAGCAGTAAAGCTAAAAATGACTTAACTTTGTTTCGTTCAGGGACTGAGGTTTTTATTTATTGATTTGATTTGTAGGGCCACCGATCTCACCTAAGTGACACAGGGCTCATGACAAAAGCAACCATCCAATAAAAACAAGTTAAAAAAACCAATATACAAAGATAGTAAAGCATCAATGACCACTTTTTTTTAAAAAAAAAAAAACATGGTCCGCAGCAAAAACAACCTTGTGTCAAACAACACAATCAGATAAAGGTCATGTCACGGGGTCCTAGAGGACAATACTGAAGGGCATGCTTGTACCCCAGTCAGGTGCAAATGCCTTAGCCCAGTGTTTCCCAAACTTGACAATTTTAAGGCATGTGGACTTCAACTCCCAAAATTCCACAGCCAGCGTTGCTGGCTGTGGAGTTCTGGGAGTTGAAGTCCTCATGCCTTAAAATTGTCAAGTTTGGGAAACACTGCCTTAGCCAAATCTTCTCCTAGTTTGCTTTGTCACTTCTGAAGACTTAGAATAACTCTTCTATTTTGTGAAAAGTGACATCTGAAACCAGTGAAATAGTTCACCTATGGAGACTGTACCGTTCTCAATCTCTGGAGATTTTTCATAAGAGGCTGGAGAGCCACCATCTCATAGATATTTAGTTGATGATCCTTGGGTTCTCTTTCAATTCTACTGTTCTGTGATTGTTTCAATGTTTCTGTACATGTTTTATTCCTCCAATCAAAGATTACATGCTCAACGTTACATTAATCAATGAAATATCAATATTTTTAAAAGATGAAATACATAATCAATGCTTTCAATATTTGTCATAATCAGTCAGTCTTTCTACAGAGCTCTGAGAATATACATATGTAAACCTATGGGATTTCCTATTGCAATTCATCTCACTGAGGGCAAAGATGAATCTGTTGTATTGTCATAGCCAATCAAATAAAAGAAATAATTCTTACAGTTGGGGAGGTCATGCAGCTATAATACATTACTTGGCTGTAGCATCTGTTTCAATGTGTTGCAAATTTTAATGCAAAGAAACTGAAAACACTGTTGCAAGAATGTATTTTATTTCGTTTGAAGCAAAAAAAAAATAATGCTCTTTTATACCTAATCCAGGGGTAGGCAGCCTTGGCTCTTTTATGACAAGTGGACTTCAACTCCCAGGAGTCATAAAAGAGCCAAGGTTGCCTACCCCTGACCTAATCTCTTCCTGTCTCTGACGTCAGGTATCTGGATTATAACTTATCTAATGTTAACATGTCTAATAAAAGATCAAGTTATTGACCTTTATGAGAACACGGAATTGTCTGAAAAAGTTCTGCTTTGCTCAATTCAAAAACTAAATTAATGCAAAAAATGGAAATAGTTTTAATTGAAGATGCTTTAGAACAGGGGTCCCCAACCTGTGGGCCATAGCCCACTAATGGGCTGTGAGGGGATTGCAACCGGGCAGCGGAAATAGTCAGCAAGTGCACATGTGTACATGCATTCTCACTTGTGCAAGCAGCAGGCAAGCACATGCGCATGTGTTTCATTTATGTGAGGGGCAGGTGCACATGCATGTGCTTGCCAACCACTTGTGCAGAATCATCCTCTCTCCACCCCACCCGCTGATCCGCAAAACCAGAAAAATTGAGGAACTCTGCTTTAGAAGATAATTGTCTAAAAAACTACAATAAGTAAATATACTCCTATGTGACTCTGCAGCAATTCCTAGGGTGATAATTTATTATTTATTCCTTTGTTGTATGTTTAATCTATTTTTAAACAGATTAGGTACCAATCATCACCCTGCACTTCAGTTTCTTTTCTCCTCCCTCTCATGATTGATTGACTAATAAACTATAAACCCTTGATTTTTAGCAGATGCATACTGTGGATATGTAATAGGAGGCAGACAAGCCATCACACAGAAGATAGATAAACTTCCAAAGGAGCAGCAACAAGACCAAACAACTGCCTTGGCAATACCAGCGGGGAAATTCACAAAGCAAGACAACACCCCTTGAAAAGGTACAATCCAGGACCCAGGATGCAGACAGCAAATGTTATGCTGGCTTTGTTTTGTGGTGACTCAAGGATGGGCAGAAAGCACTTCAACTGAGTAATGGAGAAAAGACCCTGTCATCAGTATTTTCCTATATTAATCTGACCATAATCATAAGAAAGCAACAGGACCCTCTAGAAATACAGAATACAGAATGACAGAGTTGGAAGGGACCTTGGAGGTCTTCTAGCCCAACCCTTTGTCCATGCAGGGATCCTATACAATTCTGGACAAATGGCTGTCCAATCTCTTCTTAAAAGACTTCCAGTACTGGGGGTAGGGTGGGTTTGGGGTATACTTTGTAATTTTTGTAAAACTTTTCAATAAAAAAAAAGACCTCCAGTACTGAAGTAGTCACAACTTCTGAAGGTAACCCATTCCACTATTTAATTGTTCTCACTTTCAGGAAATTTCTGCTTAATTCTAGGTTTTTGATAAGTTCCCTTCTAGTCTTGCTCTGAGGTGCTTGGAGAATATATTGTCCCCCTCTTCTTTGTGACAGCCTCTCACATATTGGAAGGCTGCTATCATGTCTCCCTTGCTCCATTTTGTTAGATTCAGGAATTAGATACCCAGTTCCCGCAACCATTCTTTGTGTGTTTCAGCATCCAGCATATTGTTTTTAAAAATAGATTGTCAATTTGTGCTGTGTAAGATCCAGACATCTTCCAACACAATTATGTTATTGCCTTTCCATAATGATCCAAATCATATTTTTAATATGGGATGATAATATTTTAAGTTGATTTGTTTTATTGTTGCTTCAGTGCTAACTTACAATTTAACAGTACAAATTTACTCCCAATACTCTGAAAAATATGTTTCAAACAATGGGTATCTACTGACTAGTTAGTACAAGTGATTATAATCAACTCCAGACAAAGCACTTTCTCAGTTAGAATTCACAAAATGTTTTGTGGGCTTTGGGAGTCCAACCAATGACTTTCATTTATAATGCTACTGGAGTTTTTTCTTTGATTTTCTTCACTGTTTAATTAGAAGCAACATTAAGAAGGAAGGGACAGAATAGTTAATAAATGCCTTGAACTGGTAGCTTTCAGAGCGCCATTTTAAAAACATCAAAAGTTAGCAAACAGCAAATAAATTGCATTACAAACCCACACTATTTTGTTATGTTATAAAAACCAGTTGTTAATTAACTAGTATTTCCTCCAGAGTCATACTTTTTTTAAAAAGCGTATGAGGAGACTTTTTATTAGCATGTCACTGCTTCACTACTGCCCTTTCCACAGCAAGGATTTCTCTGGGTATGTTATGTTTTTCCTTACAAAAACAGCAGGGAATTGATGAGTGGTTTGAGGCTTTGCCCTCCCCCCTGTCCTTCTCCCACTCCCCAGAGAATCTTCCTTTCCTCCTTTCATTCAAAGCAGTGAACCTAATTCCCCAACCCCCAATTACTATGTCAGGGTAGGTAGGATGGGGCACAAACTCCAGTCTGCTGAGGAAGCCAGCACATTCCCATTTCACGCCACTGTGATTAATGAATCCTGGCTAATGGTGTGAAAGTTTCCCCACCATTACAAAACCAGCCAGCATGTGAAAACGAGGGATGTTTAGTTTTCAAGCAGGGGAGGGAAACCAGGGCCTCTGAAGCTCATCTGAGCAACATCCTCCTCTTTGAAGAGATGTTACTACGCTCTGCTAGACCTGAAAAACTTAAGACTGAAAGTGCTTCCCCCACTTGCCCTCCCTGGCTTTTACGCAGTCTCTGTCCTTTCTCCCAGGATGCAGAGGAGGGAGTTTATGTTTCAGGATTTTAATATTTCACATTTCTTTGCATTAGTGTTGATCGTTGCTTCCCTAAACCACAACACTTGGATTATGCTGCTCTGAAAGACATCTCATGAGAAAATATTAAACAGAAGGGAAAGGAAGGCTCCTTTAAAAAAAAAATGCCCACATCCTACTAAGATACAACTGGCCCTTTGAGGTTCTGTTGATAAAGTCCCCCACATGATGGATGGGAAGGAAAGGCCTATCCCTCTCTGCTCCCTTCTCACTGATTCTGGGCAGAATTGCAGGAAACGAATGGGGAAGCAAAAAGACCCTCGCAAATGAAGGCAAATATATGTACGAGGGCAATTCGGAAATAAACTTCCATTTGAGCATGTGCAAGAAATAAGTGGGGATAGTGACATCTGTCCTATGGCGCTGTGAGCAGTAGTTCAGTAGGTAGTGAGAAGTGGAAGGAGAAGGTTGTGTTGCAGTTGACTCGTCCGCTAGATCAATTGAAAATGAACTAATTTTTAAAAATGAAACAGTGGCTTGCGTTGCACCGCTTCAGCATGACAATGCACTTCAAGATGCTGTTACAGGGTGGCTTCATTCCCAGGCGGGAGATTTTTTTTACAGAAGGAATTTCAAACCTTGTAAGACATTATGACAAGTGCCTCAATTTGAATGGCGATTATGTAGAAAAGTAATGTAATGTTGTAGTTTTCTAATGTGTATAATATAAGTTCTGTATATGCGAGTGTCTGTCATTGATAACCAAACAGAGGTTTATTTCCAGATTGCCCTGGTATCTCAGGATAATGTTGCAAATCCAATTTGGGTCAGTGTACACATTCTGGTAGAGAGAAGTTCCCTGAAGATGGGCTCCAGCATGAGTCCAAAAAGCTTGGAACACTAAACCTCTGGTCCCAGTGACCGACCCAGATTGGATCCTCCAAGAAGACCATCCTCCCACTACCCCCAGCAACCTGTTTGCAGACTATTGTGTTCCTCATGAAGGCAGCCATTGTGAGCATGTTCATTGCACATGGAAATGGAAAGAGTGATCAAATAATAATGATCCTTCACAACAGCAGCACACCCATGTATCAGCAAACAGGCTGAAGATATATAACATTCTTATATACAGGTATGAAATCATACCTGGCTTATAGTGGCAAAGCTTGGAAACTCCTGGCCATGTTTCTTCAGATGGGATCCCCAATACCTTTCAAATGAGAAACAAAACCGAATGTATTTGCTAAGTACTGTACAAAGCTCTCATATTTATCATTGGCTGCAGCTGTCAGAATGGCCAGCCAAAGTGCTCTTCCAGAAATCAAGACTGGGTCTCTACAAGAGAAGGCATTCAGAAGCTACAGACTGTCAGGATGAGAGAGACACCACTGCTTTGAGGTGAAAGGGACATGTCAGTAAGCAGATCTTCTGACAGGTGTTCAAAAACTTCATTTCACAACATTGTTTGAGGAGATATTGGGCCTTAGTACCACTGAAACTTAATTTGAAGATTCAAGTCCTAGGACTCATTCCTCAAGCAAATAAATCCATGCCAATTAAGATAAAATACTTCAAAGCAAGCATTTAGCTATGGATTGAATTAAGAACCGAAACTGAGTTCTCTTGCGTAATGGTGGCATTTAAAATTACAGCCAATGTCTGTCTGGTTTTTTACATGCTCAGAAAACGGAATACAGTGAATTTATCTATTATGTATCAAGGCATCTTCTTTTAGCTTTTTTGTATTTTGAAGATCAAACACACAAAAAGTGAAACTCTTTTTTTCTTCCCTTGTTGAATTTCTTATATTCATCTTATAACAAATTCACAAGGCAAAGGGAAAGACAGAAAGATAACTTCTGAGCATCAAAAAATGTTACCCATCCCGATCTGTATTGATATAGTAACACTTTGAAGTGTTGATGGTTTTACTATGAAGTTCTCAGATATACCATTGTACTCACTATCCAGATTTTCTCTAATTGGTCAAAGATATTGCTAACATCTGGAAACAGTGGTTGACCATGAAGCATCTCCACAAATATGCAGCCTGCACTCCTGGAGAAAAATAATATTAAGTCACTTAGCTACCCAGTGCTGTTTTTATACACATTACAAATATGTCTAATCTAAATCAAAACATCAGAATATAAAATATACATTTTTATCATGCTTTCTACTAGCAACATATCATGACAAACTTTACATAAGGTAGCAGTTACTTGAAATATTGATTCAAAAAAGAAAAAAAACATTGGGGAACTTGCATAAGAGACAGTGTAAACTAGAATCAAGCATATTTTAAGGCATAAATTAAGGCAGTTGCATTAAAGCATATAATAGAGAAAACTAGATACAAAATTCTGTATATTAAATTGCATACAATTTAATATGGACTTTCCAGCAGTTTCATCTTTCTCTAATAAAAGAAAAAAAGAAAGAATCCATGAGAAACTGCCACTCTAGAACTGGTTTGGATTTAAACTGAATATGACATTCTTAACTAAATGACCAACATTTAATCTAAATACGTATGCTCATACACTCGAAAATGTTTAAGGCTAATCTAGCATGCTTGAGGCTGTGTATACAATAAATAGCTAGTATCTAGCTCAGATGTTAAGTGGAGCAGAACTTTTGCTATCCATCAGATTGTTTCCTTAATTCCTTCAATTGTGTGGTGGCTCTTAAGCTCAGCTTGCAGCTCATGCCCTAGGCTCCATTCTCAATATAATGCACAAACGCTCCGGTAGCACAGTATTGTCACAACAGATTTCTTTACTACTACAATATGAGAAACTCTAAGAACTGAACTGCATATCACACTGCCTAAACATCAAAATCTGTGATAAAAGAGAAGGAGAAACCAAGTTTAGGAGGAAGAAGGAAGTAAAACTTGCAGTTTTAACCTTTATTAGGAATAGGCAAAATTGTATCTTTCAGATATTTTGCACTCTTGTTATTAACATAATGATTGTGGCTGACTGGCATGGAAGTTCCTTACACTATAAACTCCTTCAGGCCGTAATAAATGGTTCTGCTACAATAATCAGTTTTAATTCCTCCCACATACGTACTTTCCTAAACACATTAGAACCTGGATCACAATTTAAGGGCTGTCATACACCATTCATTTCCCTTCCCTCTTGGCATAGTAACTCTGGATTATTGCAAGATCAAATCTGGATCAGTCATCGGGACCAGAGATTTATTCTGAGCTTTTGGATTTATGCTGGAGCCCATCTTCAGGGAACTTACTGCTTTGGGCACATATTAATCCATATTCTAGATTATCTTGTAGGACTTGCATAATTCACACTCTCTTAATGTAGTCCTGCTTTTTGTTATATTATAATATATTGTAGTATAGTATACTACAATATAGTATGGGAACACCTTGTTCCAGACTCTGCATGTCAGTCATGATCATGACTTAGCTAGAAACATAGAATAGTGATCAAAATGGCTGCAGACCAGGATTTTTTTAAACTGATGCTAGTAATCTGGGAATTCTACAGGGGATAGTGCTTTTTCACCTCATCAAATAATTTTTTTTCCAGTAAAGCTGTAACTTAATGAGATGAAATCTTTCAAACTATGACATTTGACTTTATCACTTCATAAAGATCTAGTTCTGTCAAATCAATAAAATTTCTAGGAATTCTGTAACCATTAGGAGATCAGCAGAGCTAATCATAATCAAACTATATGAAGTAAGAATTATGGCATTGCTTATGGGAAAGATTGGGTGACCAGAATAAAATCTTTGGATTTAGTTTCATTTTTCTCTTACAGTGCTCTAGACACCACTTGGCAAGCAGTCTACTCTATTATGGACTACTCAAATTAAAACATGACATTTCATTTGGGACACAATTGATATTAAATATTTAAATCTTTAAGCAATTGAGAGTTCAGAGAAAAAAAAAAGAAAATACAGTAAATTTCATTTCCAATTCAAGCCCATGTAACTTTTGATAATCAGAGTATGCTCTTCTTCACTGCATTTTTCCACATTTTAAAATGCTCTTATTGTGTCTTCCATCTTTCCCTAAGAAGGGAAAGGATGAGTGTGTTGAGTTTCATTTCCTTCCTCTTAATGGTCCAAATCTGTTCTCACCAAATATCCACATCTGATGAATAATCAGTGGCTCCAAGCAGAACATCAGGAGGACGATAGCCAAGAGTCACCACCTCAGCAGAGTATGTTTGGTTGGGGACAGATTTAGCACGAGCAAGACCTGACAAAGCAGAGGGGAAAAAATCAGAATTTTAAAATCATAGTCAGAATTATCATTTTGACCCATTGTCTATCTATACAACGAATTGCAGGGCACAAATCACAGACATAATGTATTACAATTATTTTGCATCTTTTTGTTGTGAATAATCTAAAGTACTATCCAACTATATAATGCAGTTGATTTTTCCTATATTTCTCAATTTTTAACATTAATTATCCCAAATGTCTAAACTGACACCTATTTAGCTTGAGCTGAATTAAAGACAGAAGAGCTTGTTCTTTGTAGCTTACCAAATGGAAATGCCATGGCCCTGAATCTATAGGCCTAAGAAACTCATCTACTGAATAACTGTCTGATAGGGATCAGGCTATGATGACTCACCAAAATCAGCTAATTTAAGCTCTCCATAGCAATTCAGGAGCAAATTCTGAGGTTTCAGATCTCGATGAAGGATATGGCACTTATGGATGTGAGCCAACCCTCTCAGAAGCTGGAACATGAAAAGCTGGAAACAAAAGGGAAAATCAGAGCCATGGTAGTGTAACATAGTGTCTTAAACTTCCAGGAGAAAGAAAGGGAATGAATGAATGAATGAATGAAATGACTCTTCCTTATAAGTTGTTTACATATTTTAAACCCACAACACACGTTCCTAGCAACTCTTCTGTTATATACCTATTCTCTTGCTAGTAACAGTTGTGCTGGATGAAGAGATTTATTTGCTTCTCTTTTTATTTTCCCCCATAGTCAAACAGAAGCCAGAATTCCCCAAGAGAAGAGTCATAAAAGCAATCTAGGGGTAAGGGGAATAACAGCTTATTGAAGAAAAACAATCTGGAATAGGATGGGGGCCATGGCTAAATGTCAGAATGTTTGGATAAAATGAAAATGCAAAAAGAATTTGTAAAATTAATTAGCTCAATCTTAGGGGAAAAGATATTATGGATTGTTTTATTTTGTTTATTAGATTTATATCCCATTTTTCACTCAAGAGCTAAAGAAAGGTGATGTAAGTTAGAACAAATCAATAGAGTAGCTGAACCTCAGGGTGTTTGGGGGAGTGATATTAGAAATGGAAGCAGTTTGCCTAGCAGAGGCCTCTTACTCCTATTTTTACCCTTATACCCCAAAGGCCTCAAATGAGGAAAAACAACTCAGAGACATCTTTCCCAATGACGGCAAGCATCAGTAGATACCCCAGAATTTGTCTGGAGGCTCCAAGACCCACCAAAGGGATACTAGAATAATGTGAGTCTTGCTAAAATCATAGAAAGAATTCAGAAGGCTAGATATGATAGCTGGGAACCATCTCATCAGTTTTCCTCCTGGTAAAGGGATTAGATTATGGTTATGTCTACTTTGGGAATTGTTTCAAGATGTAGGACTCCCATATGGCAAATGGCAAAATGCAGCCCCTTGTGAACATTCTTTTCATGGTTTAAAAATCCCACACTGTTTCAAAGATTTGGTTCTGCTTTTTTTGTCTCTGTTTGGTAAGTGAATGCTGTCTTAGTTTCTTCTATTTGATTTGGTGCCACTCAACTCCAAGATAACTTTGGGTTGCTAATTACCTGACTGCCACAGAATAAAACAAATACTACTTTCCTGATATTAATTCAGACTGTTGAAAACAAAATTCTGCAGGGCTTAAATATGTAGATTTAAAAAAAAAATAGGCGAGGAATAGAAATATAAAAAGGGGGATTCTAATGGATGTCAGAGGCTAAAGCAAATACTGTAACTGTTGTAGGATAGGAATTGTGGGGATCAGATAACAAGGAGGAAAGAATTAAAAAAAACCTTGCTCTTTACGAATTGCATTTTCATCCTGGCTCAATCTCATGTGAGTTCCGTTTAAAAACAACTAAAGAAGCATATTAAAAATGATATGAAGAGCTTCTGATGCTTTGTTTTATAAGCACATTAGGAAGCCTGGGGATTTTCCCAAATAAATACAAAAGGAAAAAAGGCTGAGAAATATGATGGAAAAGAAAAGGGCAGTGAGAATAGTTGTCCAGGATTCCTGTGGTGGCATAAGGTTATATAGTTTCTATTTAGCGAGTTCGTTCACCTGACTGATTAGAGACAACAGATTGGACAAGTTTATAAAAGATTGGAAACCATTGTGGATTTTCTACATGTTAAATAAAATAACAGATGGTTAAAAGAGGGATTTGAAGATTAGTTTTACCTTTGGGGTTACCTGAGATGGAAAAGACCTTTTTGATATATTTGTAAGCATTCAGCTGGAGTAGAATTTTGTTTATGTTTAATGTTAGTTGTCAATAATGTATTTGATATTGGGGGGAGGTTGTACGCATATTTTTTTTTTCTTGTTGGTGTCAAATGTTTGTTAGTTTGTTTTCTTTTTCTTTGCTTTGTATTTTATCCTTGGAGCTAAAGAATAATAAATAATAGAATAAGAAAAGGATGTTCTCCCACCTGCCATGAAGCTTCAACCATGTCTTGCCGTTCACAGAAACCAGCTGTGTTTTTACTTAGTAAGAAAGAAACATGTCAAAGTGGAGGGTGTGGAAAAGGCACTGATTATTTGCAGATGTTTGTAGACTCCCTTGTTAATCAACTGGAGGGGGTGCAGGTGGCCTGATGAGGAATACTTGGAGCAGTGGTGAGGACTTGAGTGGCTCCAGAGTGTTCCTGAGGGTTTGGGGATGAAAATAATGTTTGTACTGAAGGGATCTATAAAAATGACTTCATGTGATCCACTGTAAGGCCCTGGAGGACTTCAAATCCCCCCTTTCTGATGCTGTCACCGGCAGATCCTCCAAAGCAGCAGTTCTCAACCTGTGGGTCGGGACCCCATTTGGGGTCGAATGACCATTTCACAGGGGTTGCCAAACAACGCAGTCCGCCATTTTTTCCCCCTTTTCCTTAGCTGTGCTACTCCCTTTTATTCTATTGGCTTTCAAAAGCCAATAGGAATTGTCCAGGCTGTCTCTGCCCTGCTGAGCCCGCCAAAAGTCCCATTCTGCAAACTGTGCTGCAAGTGGTCTGCAGCGAAGGCGAGCTGTCTGGAAGTTTCCACCCCTCCCTGCTGAGCAACTACTAAAAATGTAAGTAAAAGAGGGCCAGGGGTGGGAAGTGGGAGGCCGGCAGACGCAAGGAGGGTTGCTGGCACATGTGGGGCCCGGCGGGTGCCTTACCTCCCTTGGGCTGGGCCAGCTGGTGGCCCAACCGGTGGTTGGCCTGCGCCATCTCTGCCGCTTGCCAGCTACGCCTCGGCTGGCGCAGGGGGCGGCACCACGCATGCGCGGCGCTCCCGGTCAGGGAAAGTCCTCGACTTACGACTGGTTGGGTAGTCCTCGACTTACGACCGGTTGGGGGTCGCGGCATTAAAAAGGTTGAGAACCACTGCTCCAAAGGATCTTTGTACGTGAGATGCAACAACTAACACCACAAAGGGGAAAAAAATCCACAGTTTCTTCACGTACACTCTACAGGTGCTTTATACAGCTTGAGTTTCTTTTTGAACTAGGTAAAATGTGTTTTCTTTTGAAAACAGATATTGAAATATTTCCTTCTCAAAAATAAGGCAGCAACAACAACAAAGTCACCAGTTAAGCGGAACTTCAGTTGTTCAGTCGTGATTTAAATTTGGGGATTCATTAGTGACCAAATAATGAATCAACAACCATCAGAATACAGGTAGTCTTTGACTTACAAGAGTTCATTTAGTGACCGTTTGAAGTTATAATGGCACTGAAAAAAGTGACATATGACCATTGCAGCATCCCCATGGTCATTTGATGAAAAATCAAATGCTTGGCAACTGACTCATATTTATGATGGTTGGAGCGCCCTGGGGTCATGTGATCCCCTTTTGACCCCTCAGATAGACAAAGTCAATGGGGAAGCCAGATTCACTCAACAACCGTGTTAACTTAATAACTGCAGTTGTTAATAACTTAACAACTGTGGCAAGAAAGGTCATAAAAACTCACTTAACCAATGTCTTGCTTAGCAACACCAAATTTTGGTTCAATGTGATTGTAAGTCGAGGACTACCTATATCGTGGTGGGGAATTCTTTTTGCAGACTTCCATGGTGAAGGATCTTTATATTAATATGCAATTTTTCTTGATTTTGGATTCTGGGGTCATAAATGAATGGCCAGCAATATGGTGTACCTTTGTTTGGTGAGGGCTTGAGGAAGGATAAAAGTGTAATATAGGAGCGCTGCACTTCACAAACATTTAATGCAATCATTTGACATACTTGGGGGTAGGAAGGAGAGAATATACTCTTGAGAATCAATGGCTAAGGCTATAACATGGAGGATGACAGGCTGTACACATATGACAGGTTATTATTTTTTCATATTATGAAAGCATGGGGGGGCAAGGTTAATACAGTCTTTCCTGCTTGCGTATAAACAGCAGAAGCATGTTTATACGCAAGATTAAGGATTAATTTCCTTAATCTTGTCCAAAACCAAAATGAAAGCAGATTCCCACACTATCCAAAAGCAGTCGCAAGGTTTTTAAATCTGTTAGACTCAAGAATAGACAAAGAGCACTTCAACTCAGCAATGGGGAAAGATTATAAATCTTGGTTTCTCTTTCATACTTGTTAGCACAACATAATCACACAGTTGGAACTAGATGCAAGAGAAAGATATATATATATATTTAAGACAAATAGGTGAACCCTAATACGCTAAGCCTGTTGACAATGTTTGTTCACAATATATGCCTTTTATATACAAAACATACCATAACATTATGAGGATGAAGGCCCCCAGGGTGCTGAGATAAGTACTGTGCCAAGTCCGTATGCTAAATAGATGCAGAAAAAATAAGAATTAATTATCAAGCCCAGAGATTTTCTAGAGGTTCTTTATCAAAGTAAAGCTCAACTACATTTGAAAAAAATAATCACTGAATAGAAAGTAACCCCTTCTTAGTCAACACCAGGAAACCCTCTGCTGGGAAATCAGGTGAAGAAAACCTTTATTTATTGTTCATCTCCGGATTAAATCTTTGTATAATACTATCCCAAATCACTTACAAGCAGAGCACCATATGATCTACATGTAATGGGTGGGGGCTGAGAAATATTTGAATTGTCCAAAAGCAAAAATCAGAGATGTCCACAGAGAGGGGTCAAAACAAAAACAAAAAAAAATCAAGATAGTGGCACATAAAAAGATAAAGATGAGTGGTAAAACACTGAGAAGAGAAGGAAAGGCAGTGAACTGAACTTAGGAAACAAATCTTTGAAAACAGCACCTTGAATGCATTGACTGTAACTGCAAAAACGATCAGCTCCTGCTTGCTTCAGGTCACATAAAGCAGAGCTTAAAATACAAATGGGACCAGGCAAACCTCAAGGACAAGGGTCAAAAGCATGCAGAAAGCAACAGTCACTGTGATGGATCCATTCCACATTGCTGTAAAATGAGGGGAAGCACTGAAAAAAAAAGAAGGTTTGCGTCCTTCAATAAGCAAATTGACAAATCTGATGAAAAGCCACTCACCATGTACTCCAAGACTAAAGTCAGGCTCTCTTTGGTCTGGAAGATGTCATGAAGGAGCACAATATTGGCATGCTTCAGGCTCTTGAGGAGGGAAACTAGGACCATAGATACAATAATCAGATTGATATAGGGCAGTGATGGCGAAGCTTTTAAAGACCGAGTGCCCAAACTACAACCCAAAACCCACTTATGCATCGTGGTGTGCCGGGTGGGTATGGCCCATTGGCTGGGTGGGGCCCATTGGCAGGGCGGGGCCCATTGGCTGGGCGTGGCTGCAGTGGTAACGGCAGACTGGGTGGGATTAAAAAGTTCGATCAATCAATTCCAACTTTACAAGATCTTTTTTTTCCCCGCGAGGTTGAAATTGACTGATTGAACCTTTTTTTTTTGCACATGGCAGCAGAGGCCTAAAGCGAAAAGGTTTTAGCTGAAGGCCTAGGACTGGGGCGATGGCGCGCGTGCCCACAGAGAGGGCTCAGAGTGCTGCCTGTGGCACCCATGCTATAGGTTCGCCACCACTGATGTAGGAGAAAGAAAACAGCTGAACAACTTAGATGACAGCAAGACAGTTTTGGGTGCCTAAATATTTTCTTTTTTTCCACTAGGTTTTAAAACATTTTATTTACATCTTTTAAAAAATGTGCACTCCAATAATTAAAATTATTTGAACAAAAACAGCACTCAATTGAAATCCATTTTACAAGTCACAGGACCCTGGTACAGTTTTGTGTACATATTCATGTGTTATTAGACTACTATACTCCCTCCTAGAATCTTCTTTGAAGAACATGCAAGCTTTTGTGCTACCACACCAGAAGGTGGACAGGCAGATGGAAAGGAAAGTGCTTTTGTTCAGCATTAATAGTTTGCCCTGTTCTTTTTAAGGGGCGGGAGGAGAAAGGGACAGTACAATCATTTAAAGCTTATCCAACGTTTTGCATCTTACAAAGTTAAAGCAGCTACAAGAAGTAAAATAAGAAGACAATGCCTGTGAAATGTACAGTACATAATTTAGAAGGGGCCATTTCATTACAATTCATTTGCTTGCTTCTCCTGGTCAGTGTTTTCTCCTGAAGGCAGTGGGCTTTTCTCTTGCATTCCTGTCTTCTTCAACTTAGATTTGTCAAATTTCTCAATTTCAGCATATCTGATTTGTCAGACATAGTTCTGATTGATCATGAGACCGTCCCAACCTCCCACAGTCACTCTGAACTGTTCTATCCCTGGGAAGGTTCCACCCCTGGAATTTGGAACAAGAGATTATCAAATTGGGTCATCCTAATTATAGAATGAATGCTTCAGAATGGTTTAAACTATCATTTCCACCCCATAACTTTGCTGATCTTTCTCACTGGTAGAACAAAAAGCAAGGTAGGGGTTTTTAACACATTATAATTGTTAACCGCTACCTCACTCCAGTTTAAAACCTGTATCAATTTAGTCATCTGATAAATTGAGCTACATCTTATAAAAGTTTAAGCGTTGGTGATTTTTTACCACCACAATCTAATATGGCTCTCTTCTTACAGCAAACACACTCTTGGAAAAGTGTTGCGATTCTGTTGCTGAAATGAATTATTGTTAGATTAAAATTGCTTAAATACGGGGGGGGGGGAGAGAAGAGGTTTGTTAAATGAAATTTAAGTTTCTTGAAAGCTTCTCTTGGTTAAGTAAATTCTCAACAGGCAATTATGCCAGGACAAAGGTTATGATCAGTGGACTTTCAGAAACCCCTCCCCCTTCTGCACTGACAAAAGAGTTTGTTGGATGTCTAAAGCTGTGTTTTAGCAAAGGAAGAACACAAGTTTACTTGTGTTCCCCCTTTGCCTGTGGATGCTTACAGATGGCTAAACCCTCACTGCCACTCCTTTCAGGTCTGTATAACCTTTTGGGGGGGGGTGAGGGGAGGGGGGAATGCCAAGGTTTTGTTTATCCCCAAGCAGGAGTTTGCCTCAGTTTGTAATGATGACTGGCATTAGATCAAAGAGTTTACTTATGGTTAGCACAAAGCTTGGCTGAATATATCATATAAACATGCTTTCAGAAGCCTTCTTTTCAACACAGCAAAAATAAGTCTGTCTCTATCGCTGAGTTATAGGGCTCTCTACCAATTCTTGAATCAGTAAAAACCCACAAAAGTAGCATTTTCATTAACTGCAATCATTTCACTGACTTCCTTCCAATGCAAGGGATAACTAAACCTAGCAGATTTTGCACATCTTGGGGCTGTCCTTGGATAGTGTCAAAATTAATTGGGGTGTGTATGACAAGGGCAGGGGGAATACTTTGATCTTAACACAACTAAGGACAACTAAAAGCCTGTTTCCTTAATGGGCTGGAATATGATGAAGGCAACATCATGGGAACATGCCAGAAAAAAGAAGTTGCCTGGGCAGATTTATTAGGTGCAAGTAGGGACATACAGCCTGAAGCATCTGCATGTAGTTTATATAGCAGTAGCATAAACTTCTACTCTACCTGGTTACAGTATATCTTAGGAGTAATAAACATCATATAAATATTTCTCATTCACATATACAAACACAGCCCTATTAGCATCGGATTGTAAGTCTGGGATGGGAAGAGCAAAATATTAAAAAATGTAGACCACTGATTCTGTTTGAATCCCAATATGGCCTTCTATTGCTTCTAAGATTAATACATTCAGCCTAATACAAAACAAAACCAGTTTGGTGTAGTGGTTAAGATAGCAGGTTAGAAACTAGGAGACCTTGAGTTCTAATCCCACCGTAGGCACAAAACCAGCTGAGTGACCTTGGACCAATCATTTGTCTCATAGCCCAAGGAAAAAGGCAATGGGAAACCATTTCTGAAATCTTGACATGAAAATTGCAGGAATTCATCCAGGCTACCAGGAGTCACAACTGACTCAAAGGCATCAAAATAATGATTCAGTACTGTAATAATACTTAGTTCAACCTAATTGGTCACAATATTCAGATCATGATTCATCATACAGACTGAATGCCGTATTCATATTTCTTTTTTTTTTCTTACCTTCTCTTATGGCTGTAAAAGGGATTCCCTCCTCAGTGTTTAGGCTGATGACTTTCAAAGCTACCAGCTGATTGTATATTCTACTGGGACAGAATATAATAATTGTCTCTTCACAATACTTAATAATTGAACTCACAAATCAAATCTATAAATCTATCACAATTAAAGTGATTCAGGGCCATGCAATGCACAAACTAGCATTCCTTACTCATATATGTAATAATTTTGTTTATGCAGTCAAACAATCTATCAAATATGTGGAGAGGGGAGGCTTGTCTCCAAATGGTGCCTTCAAGGATAAAGCATGCTAATATTTACTTTCTTCAAACTATGAAAACAAAGTGTTCCTTCCTGTTTCTGCAATGAAACATGGCACCTAATCTAGAACCTACTTCAACTGACGGTTAAATTCTCATTTCTGCAATCATATGGATACACAGTCAAAGCTTCTGAGAGGTGTTTCTGTGAAGAACCATTTGAACTAAATAGTTGTTGGATGCATTGTCCATCACTGTATTTTTCTTCAGTTAGTAGTATAACAAATTTCCAGATAATATTCATGAATTCACAATAAGTGCAAAGAATGCTCTGATTTTAACAAGTTACTTTTTATAGCTAAGAAGATCTTATTGTACAGTAGTAATTAGCTTTTCAAATGTTTTCATTCCAGAATGCTTCCTATAAAGCTTTTTATTCATTGCAAAGCACTCACCTGCTGATTCCTTTGCACACCACAGAGTGAGGACCTTCACTCAGTGTCTCAAGATGCAAGTAGGATGAGACATTCCCAAACGGAAGACTTCTTCTTGGCTTAAATATCAATGGGAGAGAGATGGAGAACACATACATGCAGTTCTAAGATTTCTTAACCATTTTTTGACCCAAAAGTTCACTATCTGTGAATCAAATAATACAGGAATATTATATTTTATGATAATTTCAAGAAGTATCTCCTTTATATATTCTCCAAGTCTGAGTCCAAGCTCAAAATCAGCTCTCAGAAGATGACTTTTCCTGTCTCACTTGAACCTGTGATTGCAGGTTACAATTGCTCACTTAAAGACCTGTTACTGTCACTTCTGAGATATGTCTGCACTGATTATGTTTTTCTAATAGTGGAATATGAAATGTTTAATGTGCCAGAAGAAGTAGCCCCTTAGTGGGCCCCACAAGATTACTCAGCAGAAAAATTAATCAAGATTAATGAGTTTAAGAAGTTAAAAGCAGGAATCCACAGGTAATAGATATACCATCTTTCTGAGCACATAGTTGAAGTTCAAATGAACTGTTTTTTGTTCTGCCTGGTAAAGGATAATCTTTCATATTCTAATAGAGAATACAAAACCTTTCTCCTTGTTTTCTAACTCCAAGATATACATGCATATATATGTACATACATACGTACATATATACATAGGTGTGTGTGTGTGTGTGTGTGTGTGTGTTTGTATTCTTCTATTTATGATTGAAAGTTAACTGAAGTTATTACTGGCATTATTCCTTATTTAAATTTATTGTAACCCCATCAAACCTTTAGAATAGGTTAGGCTGTATATTGAAACACAGATTTTATGAAATATATATTCTAGTTTCTTTCACATAAAGCATGACATTCTTTCCCACAAGAATTCATCACCAAAATCATGGCCTGGATGAAGCAGAATTTGTAGGTTCTTCCAGATTTTGGTTTCTGAAAAAGTATGGAATTAGGGTGGATGCAATGCATTCCTTGACTGTTGCATGCTTCTTGGAGCTCTAAACTGACTGGGTGAATTAATAACATTTCTGTAACAGAAATGTGCTTATTGATCAGATCTTTTCATATTTTTGTGCTATCAGTTCTCTGTTTTTTTTAGTTGATTCGTGACAGAGTTATATTACAGTATGAGAATACAATAGTTTATATTTTGATATGGTAAAAAATCCAGATGCTGTGTCTTGGCTGCCACCTTATAGCCATCCAGAGTTATGCAGGCCTGTTCTGCTAGCTCTTCAAATAGATAAGTCTTTAAGGATTCAGTACAGATAGTCCACAACTTACAACCATAATTGAGCCCAAAACAAGACAGCTGTTAAGTGACATTTGACAACCTTTCTTGCCACAGTTGTTAAATGAATTGCTGTAATTAAATTATCAACATGGTTGTTAAGTGAACCTGGCTTCCCCATTGACTTTGCTTGTCAGATTACAAAAAGTGATCATACGACCCTGGGACACTGGGACACTGCAACCGTCATAACTATGATTCAATTGCCAAGCATCCAAATATTGATCATGTGACCATGGGGATCCTGCAATGGTTGCAAGTGTGAAAAATTGTCATAAGTCACTTTTTTCAGTGCTGTTGTAATATTGAATGGTCACTAAACAAACTGTTGTAAGTTGAGGACTATTTGTATTGCATATGCAAAGACCATGCAGTATAAATGTGCATTTGCATCCTGTGTGTTATAAAGACAAGCATCTAGCTAACTTTATATATAAGGCAATCTAATAAGTTGTTATCACCTTATTTTCTCTAATGTTTCTTATTTTGTGAAGCTAACATGCACCCCAATCAAGAAATTTCCTTTATTTCATGAGATTTAGCCCATGCCTCTCCCTGTCATAGATAAGAAACTGCTTACTTTCAGTAATGGTTGCATGTTGTCTTGCTGTGATGAATCTTTCTCTTCATAATGGCAGCATAGGCATCTGGGAGTAGGAAAATTTCCACATAAAATGTCGCCCATTTTCTTCGGCCCTCAAACGGCTTGATTTTCTGTCTCTCATGTTTTCTATTTACCAAAGATAGGAAATGTATGAATGTTCATATGACTTGCATGAGGTCTCTTGTGACTCATAAGAACTCCCTTTCTTCTACAGTTTTAGGCCAATAATTCAAATTTATTCTTTGTGTAACTCTTTCAGTTTAACAAATATTGTTCCAGAGAATGTGCATATTTCCAAATGTACAACTTAATCATAAACTTGAACACAAAATAAAAAATCTAGACCAAAGTCTATATTATGTTAACTCCCAGAACAAATGACCAATGGGGAAAGTGTTAATATATATGAAAATGTATGTTTTGCAGTTTGTAGGCTTCCTTTTCACAGCTGTGATACTTACGGAGCAGGCTAACTTTGCTGCTCCAGAACTTAGCCTGTATCCAGGGGCAACCCTTCTTTTGCATTATTCCAACCTTTCAATGGGAGTTGCACTAATCCTTTGCCTGGTGACCAGTGGGGACAAGAGATAAGGCAATAATGAAAAGTGAGGGTGTTGGGGATTGTCTTGAGGGGAGTTGGTGGGCAGTGTTTAAAATTTATGTTCAACTCTTTGGGAGCTTGTGGTAAAATAACAAGATCTGAACCCATGCCATCAGTTTTTAGCCTATTGGTATATAGCAGGGGTAGGCAACCTGGGCTTTTTTATGACTCGTGGACTTCAACTCCCTCAGGAATTCTGGGAGTTGAACTCCACGAGATAAAAGAGCCAAGATTGCCTAACCCTGCTATATAGTAATGGTTAAGGCACCAGGCTAAAAACAGACACTGTGAGTTCTAGTCCAGCTTTAGGCATGAAGTCAATTGAGTGACCTTAGATCAATCACTCTTTCTCAGTCTTGGGAAGCAGCCAATGGGTGGGGCACTTCCGAAACATCTTGCCAATAAATTTCAGGGACAGATCCAGGTAATCACACAAATCAACACTGACTTGAAGGCTCGTGTACACACACGTTACAGTATTATTTTCTCTTTTTTTTCTTGCTTGAAGTGTTACAGCATGCTTTCTATACAACTTCTCTCTGTATTTTATTTCAAGAAAACCTGAGCTATCCCATCCCTTCCAGTTGGTAAATCATGATTAAATGCAGAATGGTTCATGCATGCTGGTCTCATTTTACTGTTTACTTCCCCTAACACAGCAATAGTAGTAATTATGTGTGCTTATGATTTACACAGCTGGCAGCACAGCTTGAGGGAATGTAGATAGACAATTAAGGATTTATTCTGTGGCCCCTTTTTGTCTATCACAGTGCCTGCTTTGTTTTATGTACAAGACGATTAATCTCAGGTCAGTTCCTTCTGCTTTTCTTCCCAGCTTCACATGCTCTGACTCTTTGATTCTCCTTCTGATAGATGTAGTTATCTAGGTGGTAAGCTTCACTCATGCCTATAACATATTTCCTGTAACTAAATCTCTTTTCTGTTAGTTACATATCCTGCTTCACCAGTAATTACTCATATCAAATTCCTGCTCTCAGGAAGGTTCACAGTACCTACAAAATACTTCAACTCCCAACATTATGAAAACAAAGAAAATTAAAACTTTAAATTCACTGGGCTTCATTCAGAAATGAATGCATTGGATTGCATTGGCATTCCTGAACAGTGCAAAACTGAATTTACGTTTTTTAAAAAAGCTCTCTACATTTTAGGTAACATTTACTGTGCTACACACAGCTTATCACATAAGCTCAGGCTTTAAGCACAAATAAGCACCTTGGCACCTTTTCAACGTCCTGCCAATTTCTGTTGCAATTATAATGTTCAGCATTGATAACAGTACCAAAGCATGCACAATAGGGTGTATTCATTAACTCCTGCCTACGGGGCATTGATGGTATTTTGAAAACAAACACAAGCTTCCCAAACAAAAAAAGGCCCCAGAGCTTACGAGAACTGACGTGCTAAAAAAAAGCCACATTATGGCTAGAGGGCAGCAACGAGGTAGAATTTTCTGTATTCTCTTTCATGCCCATTGGAGGTCGCACAGTTTTCCAAGCCAGACCTGGTCGCTTTACTATTGATTTTGCTCATGATCTCTGAATTAGAAAAAGGGCAATAAAGAGTGTATACCATTCTAAGAAAATGCCAATAATAGTCATTTCTTAAAATCTTACGATAATTGTTCTTTTGTTCGCTTTTCTTTTCAACCTCTAGCCACTTTCAGCCGCGTTATTACCCCTTTCTAGCAGTGGTTTAAGCTTACGCATCTGCATTAGTTTGTCCCATTCAAGATCCCGTCCTCATCTTCTGTTCCTGCATCTTTCCCACCTTTTTTCGCCAGGTCAGCTCCGCCCCTTCGGCCCAGCAAAGCCCGCCTCTTTCTCTTTACGTGAATCAGCTGATTCCAGCGTGCCTTGGAAGCCGCGGCTGATTTGGGCAATTAAAGCGCGGTCGCGAGACTTCAGGTGAGAGGGAAGGGAGCTGCTGCTCGGTATGGGAGAAGGCGGGCGTGGAGCTGCGGGTCCTTAGCGCGGGTATCCCTTCGCTCTCCCCTTCCTGAAACCTTCGGAACGGAGGAGGCGCGCGGGGTAGAGTTCCCGCCTGGCTGGGCTGTGGAAACTTCAGTCGCGTATTAGGAGCTGGAGGGTACATCCCGAGACCCTTCTCAGTTGTGCGGCCTCGTCTGCCTGTTGCTCACACGAGCTCCGGGCTTTCGGCCCCTTCCGCTCGGCACCGGAGCCAGCCTCCTCGTTCCCAAAAGAGGAGAATTTTTGTAGCTCAGGGTTGACATGAGCGGGTCCTTGGTGCTCTCCGAGCTTGCTTGCTTTTCTTGCCGACGTTTCATTACCCAAACTAGGTAACATCGTCAGTGCTACCTTGGTTTAGGTAATGAAACGTCGACAAGAAAACAAGCGAGTCAAAGAGCGCCAAGGACCCCTCGGTTTCCTTTTTGCCCGTTTCCTTTCCCGAGTTGAACTTGTACTGGGAAACGCATGTGGGTTTACTATCCTGTGATTCAGCCCTTCCCCAGTTCTAAGAAAAACATTCCCATGAATTCTTCGGAAAATACGATACCGGTTGGATATTGCTCTCTATTCTCTCCCTGCACATGCTAAAAATCAATATGCTGCCCTTGACATTGTCTGGAGAACGTTTGTCAGGCCCTGGGGTTATTGGGGGGGGGGTGGATTCTAAATGTCACAGGTAAATTAGGGAAAGGTGTTGTAAATGTGATGCCATGGGCCCTCATAAAAAATAATAAAGGTGGGATTTAAAAAATCTAAAGGTTGTGTGTGTGTGTGTGTGTGTGTGTAAGGTATATGAATGAGATAGGATAAAACCTAATAGAATATAAATCAAGGTGACAAATATACCTAATACTCCTGCCTCCTGTTTTCCTAACAACCACCTTGGGAAGTGGGTTGGGCTGAGAGAGGAGGAGTGGCTCAAAATCAGCCAGCCAGCATATTTTCTCCTGAGTATGGCTTCTTACATAGCCAAAATGGCACCATCTACCCACATGAGAGTTACTGCCTGAGTTAAGGAATTTCAGGTTCTGTAGAGATTCAAACTCTTTGGAGAAAAGAACAATAATTCCTAAACTCTTTGAAATAGTCCAGAGGATTTGGAAAATTGGGCTATGTTTTTCAAGGTGCTTGAATGAATGGAAGTATTATGAATGCAGGTGCAGCTGTTTGGAACAACAAAGAAGAGCGATCTGCACTGCAGCACTTAGTAGAAAAATCAGCTACTTTAAGAATCTCTTATTGTCTGATTAGCAAGTTAAATGCTGATAGGATGGTGTGGATAAGTTGGATAAGTAACTGGCTGAAGAGCCATGTTCAAAGAGTGTTTATCAGTTACTCCTTATCAAGCTGGAGGATAGCCTCACATGAGATGAGATAAGGTTCAGCTCTAGACACCAAATGCTGGTTTCTTAGCCCTGGCAATTTTAAGATGTGTCAGTTTTAAGATCAGGGATTAAACTAAGGTCTATTACTTTGACAACTATTCACTAAAAACCAAGGTAAATTTGAGTAAATGGACAGGTTCTAAGAACAACAGTAAGAATAATTATCAGCTTAGAAATTAGTCCTATGAAAATAGATCGAAGGAATCAATTTTTAGAATTCTTATAGGAAAATATGTGGCAGGCAAAGCCAAGAACAGCATGTAACAACTCAGCCAGAATTCAGTTCTTTATTTGCTTACGTACAATAGAATGTTGCCAGACTAAATCCTTACTACTTTTACCCTACCATAGTATACTGGGAGATTCTAGGGCAGGGGTCTTCAAACTTGGCCCTTTTATGACTTGTGGACTTCAACTCCCAGAATTCCTCAGCCAGCATGCCTGGCTGAAGAATTCTGGGAGTTGAAGTCCACAAGTCATAAAAGGGCCATGTTTGAAGACCTGTTCTAGGGAGTTGCTATCCTTACTCTCTTTCTCTGTTTCCTATTCATCCCTATACTGTGCTGCCTCCTGTCTCTCACACACCCCTTTCTTGAATGTGCTCCCCCATTTCCCTGTAGTCCATCACACCAGCTCCCCCTCCATAGGCACCGTCTCTAACAATAAGATAAAATTATTCTAAACTAAGTATATAGTACTGACATTCTTATTTATATATGTATAGGATATCCATCATTTTAAAAATATGTTACTATGAAATGAAGCTAAACCACTATAATCCCTAATTTTTAAAGAAAGGCGCATTTCCTCTGGTATTTTCTCTTAATGCTTTGGTTTCATGCAGAAAATTATATTTTTTTGATTTCAGTAAATGGGAGAGGCCAAAGTTATAATTTGATGCTTTTTTGAAATTATTAGTTATTTCTATGATGTAGTCTTGGTGCAAGATGAGTCTTATTTGGTAAAGTGTAGAAAGTGCCTGCATTCACTCATTGCAATATGCTGTGATTTGAGATGGAATAGTCATTCCTGTATTTAGTAAATATCAATAAAAAAAATCAAGTATAATTTGTGTAAACTATAACTTCTATAAGCAATAACTTGGCTTGTAGATCCTTGCAAACTATAGCTTGCTAACTGCAATTCATGTTTTTACATTAAATCATAGCTTATTTTGATTATCTGTATAGGTTTTGTAGGGATAAAATATAATCAGGTATGATACAAAAAGTGTGGATCTGTATGGAATCAATGCATGAGTATTGCAATAAATTACTTAGGATGTAACAATTGTTTATTAAATTTTTTATATTACAATGCTAATTATTATACAGGTAGTCCTCAGTGCATAACCATTCGTTTAATAATAGTTTGGAGTTGCAGTGATGCTGACAAAACTGGTTTACAATCTGTCTTCAAAGTTACAACATAACCCTAGCAGTCACATAATCACAATTTCTATGCTTGGCAACTGGCTCTCATTTATGATGGTTATAGAATCCTATAGTCATGTGATCATGATTTGAGACCTTCCCTGCCGGCTTCTGACAAGTAAAGTCAATGTGGGAAGCCAAATTTGTTTAATGGCTATGGTGATTCGCTTAATGACCAAAGTAAAATGGTTGTAAAATAAAGCCTGATCACATGATGACTCACTTAACAACTGTCACTTAGTGACCAAAATTCTGGTCCCAATTGTAATTGTAAGTCAAAGATTACCTATAGCAGGAGTCCCCAACCCCCTGTTCGTGGACCAGTACCAGGCTGCGGCATGCCAGCAACCGGGCCGCACAAACGAGCAAAGCCCCATCTGCAGGATGCAGGCAGCACACAAAACCACGCCCCCTGGTCCGCGGAAAAACCTCTCTCCACGGAACCGGTCCCTGATGCCCAAAAGGTTGGGGACCTCTGACCTGTAGTACAAGCCTTTCAGGTACCTGCTGTTGGTTTTGTCATTGCTTTTATAATGTGATACTAGCTTTAGGGGAATGCGGCATAGCTAATAGGATGTTTGGGTTCTTGTTTAGCATTTCTTGTTTTCCTAGTAGTCTATTTTTACCAAGATAACATCCATACCAAGACTATATCATGATAATAGCTAAGCTGCTAAGAAATTGTCAGCCATCATCCCTCTCTTTTTTATAGCTAAGTATTTGTTGTGTCCCTTCAGGAAAAAATAACATTATAGTTATTCCGTTTGGAGTATTAAATCACACAACCTTAATGTAGTAAATAAATAATGAAACAGGGAAGATCTCTGCCTCAGCAATGCCAAATAGAGAAACAACATGCACTACAAAAGGCCTGCCTTAGACTCTCTGGGAGAATGCTAGCAAGATGGCTCATAGCAGCGCATATATTCCTCCTGCCAACCTCCAACACACCAAAGAATTGCTAAGTTGGATCCAGCTGCTTTTCTGCCAGCAGGAGAATCCCTTCAGTGACATTTAGCTCAGCACTGCAGCCTGTGGAAAGTGGAATGAATGCTAATGTGCATAGATCTTTACAGTTCTTAGTAACACCTCCCTCACTGTTCCTGGGCAGATTTAAAGGGGGGGGGGAGGTTGTCTTGGAAACTAGAGGAGAAATGGACAAATATCATATTGTCTTCTGCTCCTCCTGTGGAATTCTGCATGGAATCAGAAGCTCTCAGCCTACTGAGTCTATCCATTCTCTTGAATGAACTCTCAGACTTGGATGGGGAGTGAGGCTGATGTTTGAATAGGCCTTGGAGAATTGAAAAACCATAAACATGGCATCATGGTAGGTATTCTATATGTACTAAAAGTGAGTCTACTTAATTGTTAAAATATATGTTTAATGTGTCACTGGTTGGTGATATGTTAGTAAACACTTAAAAGAATTGTATGCACAGTATAGGGATTCATTTACCTGAAGAGCTCAATTTTTTTACAACTAGCCATTACTGTTACTTCTTGCATAATATCTGTAAGCATTAAGCTTGTTTTATTAAGAAGACCTGCATCCTAAATTGTAGGGAAGTCATGTTATTTCTGATATGCTAGCAATTAGAGCTTTTAAATGTAAGGTATACATTTATACCTGTATGGGTATATGGTGAGGAATATCAGTATATATGTTAATTGAATTAAAATATGACATTTTCATACTTTTATAAACGTCATGATGTAAATTAGGTTCTCTGAACGTTTCCCTCACCTGTTTTAAATTTTTAGTCCATGGAAATATAAATAAGCTGCTGCTTGCCATTGTATTTATGGATTGATTTTGCCGGGCAATGCACTGTTTTCTGAATGCTTACAAATTTACTGTTTAATCATCTATTGTGTTGCAGCAGACCAAGTACCGGTATATCCTTTAACACCTATCAGTGCTAGGAGGTTTGGCTGAAGATGTCGGTTGTCTTGAAGACAACAGGCTTTGAACATTTCTTCTCTAAAAGTGAATGGGATAACTATAATGAACCTTTATTTGT